GGACGACAGGAATAAAGCTTCATTAAAACTAATTAAAAATGAACTTTTAGTTTACTTAAATCTTTGTTTGCCATGTTTAGAGGCTATTAATGTATTTAAGAGCGACAGCAATTTGTTACTGGCTGCTAGGTGTAACAAAAAATATGTTTTTAAAAACAAAAAATTAAATACTTTATTTCTATGCCGAGTACTTTTTTTTTAAGCTTTTAGTCGAGAAATACTTTATGTAAAGCCTAAAAAGGTGGCAACCCTAACTGTAACTGTGTTACACTGTGTTATTGTTTTTTATACATTGTTTTACAATTTCTTTATATATGTTCGCTAAAAAGCACCTTGCAGCATTGCACCCCTTATGCTTTCGCGAATGTGTCTGTTAGTTGTGTTACGCGATCTATTTCAACTTTCAACTATATGAAACAACTAAGTATTTGCAATTAGATGCATTACTCAATTTTTTATAATTTATAGGGCTAATGGTTACAAGGATGAGTGCAAGTTTATCACCCGTTCTAAAGTTTTACGTAGATCACCCGTTTGTTGTAGCAATCAAATACAAAACTAATCCACTTTTTATTGGACGCATTGTTAAACCGTCTGTTTAAAAAAAGGATATTGTAGTGTTACGTAGTACTTAATGTGTATTTGTGATGACAATAAAAAAAATATATACATGCAAGAATAGTAGGTACCTATTTCAGTTTATTTTTTAACAAGAACGTTATTAGAAAAACGTCGAGAAGCGATTTTGATTCAAAATTATTGATATTAAAACTCGAAATAAGAAACATAAATGTAAATGTGTAAATGCTAAACTTTGTCGTTTTTCAAATGGAAAAATAAAAATATTGTGAAAAATTACAAGTTGTGTTATTTTTTATAATGAATTTTCACCAAGTAAATGCCGAACTATTCGAAATTTTAAAGCTAATACTGTTAGAACTATTAAGTTTTGTCAGCGACATCGTTTATGGACCGCTAAATACATAATCCGATTTGGGATTTGCTTTTGCATGTAGATTTTTCATACCCATTTTACAAATTTTTAGTACGACAATTGCATGTTAAAAAAAAAATGATTTTCACTACGTTTTGGACGTCAATAATTTTTTATTTCTTTTCAATTTCTAGCAGTGTCAGTGCAAGTATACAGTAGAGAATATATTCAAGGTTTCCGGGTAGATCATCCTTTTCTCGTGGCAATCAAACATAAAGATTATTTGCTTTTCGCTGGATTGATCAAAAATCCGTTAGCGTAATTGCCATTATTAACAAGATTAACATAAGTTTTTACTATTGTTTATTTGATTTATGTTTCAATTTTGTATTAGTCTACTATACCTATCACAAATATACACTTTTGTTCAATATACCATGGGTTTGTTTTTATTTATTGGTTAATCGATTTCCCGATTATTTTGAAATAGATATAGACTAAATGTATAATAATAGTCTTATTAATAAATATATATGTATACACATATGTATTGCTAAATGTTATCACCAAAAAGTATTATCTATATTCTGTATTAACCTTTTTAACGCATGTGTTTACTACTTAAGGTGTTTTTAGGGTACGTTGTAGATGGAATTTGTAAATGGTTAGATAAAAAAGAATTATTTATAATAGACCATCCATTTATCATATTATTGCTCACAGAGGTAGCTGTTCTTTTCATGGGATCCATATCAAAACCTAAATCTATACAAAAGATAAGATGATGACTAAAATAGCCTTTAATTACAATTATCAGACTCGATGCCTTAAACATGCATTTGTTTGAAAGAATTATTGCTGTAAAAGAACTTAGGTTTTAGATATGACTACGTACTTGTGTGCACGTTGGAATACGGGAACTTTACTTTTAGATATGTAATACACATTTATAGATACTATATCAAACACGACAGTAGACAGAATAATCAGAATAATAAAGCACGACTTGATTTAAAACTGATATTTTTAATTATATACCTTTTGACTTTTCCATTAGCTACAATCTGTTTATTAACTTTTGAAATGAAAATCTGTCTATCCCGGATAGTTCGAAGCTTCACTTTTTATTCGCAAGGGGGTCCAGCATCAGTCCCGCTAGTTTTATAATAATCTATTATGTGGAAGTATATTAGTATTATAATAATATATAACATCTAACTGGTTGATAATATCGTTGTCACCTATATACCTACACTATTAAAAAAATTAGTAGTAGTAGTAGTAATGAAGGTGATTATTTCTGAACATTCCGATGCAGTTAAAATATTTTTTTAACGGTTATTTAATATTTTTCCATTTTCAATATCTATTAATTTCGATTTCATCACATACCTAAAAACGTCAACAAAATATTTAAAACCATTTATTGAAAAACATGATAAGTAGGTGCATGTATTGTTGGTATGAAGATTTTGGTACCTCGATTAAGATTAATACTGGTTGTGATTAATTGTTCATAATTCAACGTAAAACCGTCATCAATTTCTTTGAACNTACGTATAGAATGAGGGTGATTATTTCTAAACGTTCCGATACAGTTAAAAAAAATTTTTAACGGTAATTTATTATTTTTCAATTTTCAATATTAACTTCCATTTCATCACATACCTTGTAAACGCCAACAAAATATTACTACTAATTAATTGGAAAATGCATGTGTTGTTGGTATGAAGATTTTGGTACCTTGATTAAGATTAACACTGGTTATGATTAATCGTTCATAATTCAACGTAAAACCGTCATCAATTTCTTTGAACAGTTTCATCTTTTTAAAGTGCCAGATAGTTCCTTACTTTATTGTAATTTTATTAAAAAGTGATGATATACTGATTCAAGATTTTACTTCAATAATATACTTTCCAATTTCTTCTTCATTAGAATTTGGCATTATGGCGGCAAGTGCTATTTTCCCTGACAAAGTACTTATGGTCAATCATCCATTTTTAGCCATACTGAAGCATAATAACGATTTACTTTTTATTGGAAAAGTTAAAGACCCATCGACTATTCAGTAATATATTTTACAATACGAATTCCGGATTGTCATAATATCAGTTTTTGTTGTGCAACGTAAAAATAAAGAATTTAGTTTTATCACGACTCAGTTTATATACATTTTTGTACTATATGAATCGATTTTAATAAGATAAAGATGAAGAAATAA